TTTTTTTTTTTTCGGAACCCAGGATTGAACTCAGGCCTTGCACTTGCCAGGGAAGTGCTTATTCCACTGAGCCATCTCCCCAGCCCCTGCCTGTGCCTATGACTTAAAGTGTTTTTCCTACATTTTCTTTGAGCACTTTCAATTTTGCAGGTCTTATTCCAAGATTATTGATCCACTTTGAGTGGATTTTTGTACAGGATGACAGAAGGAAATCTAGTTTCACTCTTCTAAAAATATGTTTTCCCAGCTCTGTCTTTTAAAGAGGCTGCCTTTTCTCCATGAATTTTTGGCTTTGTCCAAAATTAGGTGGCCGCAGCTGTGTAGGCTGGTTTCTGGGTCCTCCGTCCACTGAGCTACAGGTCTATCTGTGTGCCACTGTTATGCTATTTTTGTCACTACAGCTTTGTAATATAAGTTTTTTTGTGGCACCAGGGATTGAACTCAGGACCCTGTGCTTGCCAGGCAAGTGCTTATTTTACTGAGCTATCTCCCTGGCCTCTGTAATATAATTTGAAAGCTGGCATTGTGACCTCCCAGCCTGACTTTTTTTTGCTTACAGTTGCCTTTTTGAGTCTTGTGCTTCCATGAAATTCCTAGCCATGTAAGCTTTAGGATTAGCTTTTCTACTTCTCTGAAGAATGTCACTGGTATTTTGATGGAGATTTTGTTGAAGTGGATCTGGAGATCACGTATGATAATGTGGACATTTTGACAATATTAATTCTGCCAATCCATGAACTTGGGAAGTATTTCCATCATCTTGTGTCTTCGATTTCTTTCTTCAGCATTTAAAAATTTTCCTTTTATAGGTCTTTTACATTCTTGGTTAGATTGTTCACTAGGTATCATATTTTATTTGAGTGACTGTGGGTGGAATTGTTTTGCTGGCTTCTTTCTCAGCTAGTCCATTATTGGTGTAAAGCTATTTATTTTCTGTTAATTTTATATCTTACTACATTGCTGAATTCATTTTTCTCTCAAGTCTTCTGGTTGAGTTCTTAGAGTTTTCTAAATATGAGAACACACTATCTGCAATCAAAGATCACTGTTTGACTTCTTTTCCTATTTGTATCCTTTTTATTTTTTGTCTTGCCTGGCTGTTCTTGGTAAAAGTTTGACAACTATATTGAGTAAGAGAGGTGAGCGTGGACTTCCTTGCTTTGTTCCTAACTTAAGGGGAAAAGCTTTCAAATTTTTATCCATTCAGAATGATGTGACCTGTGGGCCCATCATTCTGGGCCTTTACTGTATTAAGGAATGATGCTTGAAAACCTAGTTCCTCTGGGGTTTTATCATAAAGAGATGTTGCATTTTGTGAAAGGCTTTTCCTGTATCTATTGAAGAGATCATGTGATTTATATCCTGGATTTTGCTTATGTGGTGCATGTATTGATTTGTGTACATTGAACCATCCTTGCACTGCTGGTATGAAACCCTCTTGATCAATATGAATTTTGTTTGTTTTTTGTACTAGGAGTTGAACTCAGGACCTTGCATTTGCCAGGCAGGCACTTATGCTGTTTTTTAATGTGTTGTTATATTTTGTTTTTGAGTATTTTATTAAGGATTTTTGCACCTATGACCAATGAGGATATTGGTCTATAGTTTTTTCTTTCTTTTTCTGTACTTTAGGGAAGGGTCTATAGGGTGTTCAGGGTCTCCCTACTAGATCAGACTCATAGTGGTCCTCCTGTTCACAGTCTCAGCGTGCCCCAGGGGCAGGGCCGACACAGCAGGCCCAGGGATTGAACTCCCAGCCCCTGCGCCTGCTTGCAGGCACTTTAATCTAGTGAGCTATTTGGCTGGCCCTAGTTTTCTTTTTTGTTGTTGTTTCACAGACCAGTTTTGGTATCAGGGTGATGCTGGCCTTGTAGAATGAGTTGGGATGGGAAGGCCTTTCTATTTCATGGAATAGTTTGAGAAGCACTGGTGTTATTTCTTCTTTAAAGATGTGGTAAAATTCACCTGTGAATTCTGCTCCTGGACTTTTGTTGGGAGCCTTTTTATTAGTGCATCAATTTCATTGCTTGTTTTTGTTCTGCTTCATGTTTTTTGTTTTGTTTTGTTTTTTAATTTTTAACATCCTCTTGGTTTAGTTTTGGAAAGTCACATATGTCAAAAAATTTATTCATTTCTTCTAGGTTCTCCAGTTTAGTAGAATATAGATTTTCAAAGTCATCCCTAATACTTCTCTAGGCTTCAGCAAGTCTCCTAAGTGGCTGGGATTACAGGCAATCACCAGTACTCCAGGCTTCTGATGTTTTTTTTTCACTTTTTCTGCCTAGATTATTGCTCTACTGGTAACAGTGGATTATTAAAATCTCCAACTACTTTCTAATTCAACACTGTTTCCCAGTAGGTATAATAGGATTTTCTAATAAAACTGGGTGCTCCACTATTAAATTCACACTTTTAATTCTTTTATCTTCTTCATGGACTGATCCCTCAGTTACTATATAGGGAACATCTTTCTGTCTTGTTTTTTTGTCTCAAAATCCAATTTGTAAGATGTAAATCTAGCTATTTACTGCTTGTTTTTAGATTTCATTTGGTTGGAATATTGTTTCTCATTTCTTCACTTTCAGTATGTGTGATTCCTTGCTGCTAAGGTGAAACTGGTAGCCAACTGCTGGATCTTGGTTTTGTTGTACATTCAACCAGTCTCTTAAGAGTTAAGACTGGTGGGCGGAGCCTCTCCGGTTGGCCAGGTGGGTGAAGGGGGGGGCATCTCCGCTGCAATTGACAGTTTTCACCGACTGACCAGGGTTAGCTATAACGTCCCTGATCAAAAAGGTGATCTACTCAGCGAAAGCCCCGAAGCCCCTTGGGGCCTACAGTCAAGCTGTGTTAGTCGACAGGACCCTTTACATTTCGGGGCAGGTCGGCTTAGACCCTGCGAGTGGACGGCTAGTGCCAGGAGGGGTAGTAGAAGAAACAGAACAAGCTCTCACCAACATGGGCGAAATTCTGAAAGCAGCGGACTGCGACTTCAGCAACGTTGTAAAAACAACTATCTTCTTGACTGACATAAACGATTTTGCTGCTGTCAACGAAATCTACGGGCAGTATTTCAAGAGTCATTTTCCGGCTCGAGCTGCCTACCAGGTCGCTGCTTTGCCCATAGGAGCCCGAGTGGAGATCGAAGGAGTGGCTGTCAAAGGGCCTTTCGCAACACTGTGACTCTGAGCGGCACAGTGCTGTCTCCTCCCTGGGAATTTCCATCTTGGCTTTGGATCAATAGCTCAATTCTTCATTTTTTTGTTTTTGTATCTTAATTCTTATAACCCATGTTAGAAAGAGCAAGTGTGGCTAAACTACTCGATGTTCAGGAAATTCCACCTCAGGGAGATTTGACATGAGTGGGAGGCTAGGTGATGAATCCATTGGTGCTGGGGGGCTTCCGCTCAAGCGCACTCACCCTGCACGGGGTGCCGGTGCCATCACCGTCACTGTCACCATCACAGGAAGAAAGGGGAAAGAGCTGCAGAAAGAGGAGCCAGTCCTGGGAAATGGTGCGGAGCACACCTAAGGCAGTTAAATCCTATTAACTTAGCAAGAAGGAATATTTAGTTTTCATGATACACATATGATTATGCTTTTGTTTGAGTAAAATCAAATTATTCAAACTTGAATGATAGGGGTAAGGGTGAAAAAATGGACCAGAATTTTATGCAGATGATATTTTTCTAATGGCAATAAAGTAGACATGCAGCCTAAAAAAAAAAAAAAAAAAAAAAAAAAAAAAAAAAAAGACCATTGTTCAGAGTTATTAGTGAAGTGGGCTTGTGCCTGTTAATTTCTTGCAATTCTTTTTAATATTTTTTGATCCTTTTATTCATCTTTGTGGCTTGATGGTTCATAGTAATAATAGGTCTATTTCTTGTTGCATATCTACTCTTCTAGTAGAATTCATACTTCTATATACTACCATCATGTGTTTACAATGTTCACTGTCTTTTTGCCACTTCTAGGTACAAGACTCTCTTAAGCATATAGTGGTTATAAATTCCTTCAGTTTCTGTGTGTCTTGGAAATTCTTTATCTTCTCGTTCTTATGGATATTCTTGCTGTGTATAGAAATCTTTCAGGATTTAAAATGTATCTATTGGGGCCAGAGAGATAGCTCAGCTGCCTAAGTTCCTGCCTGGCAAGCCCAAGGTCGTGAGTCTGATCCTCGGTACCGGGGGAAAAAAAAAAAAAGTTGCCCTTAAATGTGAGTTGGCCGTTACCTCTTGCAGACTGTAAATTTTTGTCTTTCTTGCATGCTATTTATTACTTGGTGCAGGGTCTCGCTAAGCAGCTTAGTCTCGTAGTGATCCTCCTGTCTCAGCCTCCATCGTGCTGGCATTACAGGTATTCACCACCAGCCTTGGTTTCAGCGGCCAGCAGGGCTAGCTTGGCATGTGGTACCAGGAATCGAATCCAGGTCCTTGCACTTGTCTGGCAGGTGCTTAGACCACCAACCTATCTCCCCAACCCCTACTCTATACTTGTAACAGATATACATATATCACTGTAAGGTCCTCTCTGACCAAATCTCTTCAGGATTGCAGAAGCATCCTATAGAGGCTATATATGACTTTCCTTTTCTGCTATTATTCCATTGAACAGGTTTTTCTTCTTTTTTTAATGCCCTTACACTTTATTTTTTTTTTTTTCTTCTTCTTCTTTGGGTATGTCGATAAGGTAGATGTTTGATCTTTTAGTCGTGTCCCAAAGAACTCAAAAGTATCTTCATCCTTTTTTGTTTCTATCTTAGGTATTCCAGAAGACTTGTATTTGACATTCTTTCAACTCTGATGTTCTTCAACTTGATCTAGTCTGTTGCTGAGGTTTTTGACTAAATTTGTACAACTTACCAAACTTATTTCCAAGATTTTTCTTTTTCTTTTTGTACTTTAGGGCAGGGTCTACAGGGTGTTCAGGGTCTCACTACTAGATCGGACTCTACTGATCCACCTGTTTGCAGCCTCCCAAGAGCTGGGATTACAGGCACATGCCACCATGCCCAGTCTCGATTGCCATCTCAGCACACCCCAGGGGTGGGGCCGGCATGGCAGGCCTGGGAATTGAACCCCTGGCCCCTGCGCCTGCTTGCACGTGCTTTAAGTTGCTGAGCTATTTGGCCAGCCTAAGATTTTTCTTTTCTTCTTTAGCACAGACTTCTTTATTTATTTTTTGCAGTACTAAGGATTGAACTTGGGACCATGTCCTTAGCACTTAGGTGCTTATGCTACTGAGCTATCTCCCAGCCTCTTTCTTTGCTTTTTTGCAGTGGGTTTTCTCTGCGTAGTTTAGGCTGGCCTTAAACTGGCCTACTATTGGCCTACTATGAAGTACAGTCTGGCCTCAAACTCACAGCAACTCTCTCACCTCAGCCTCCCGACTGCTGAGACTGCAAGTGTGTGCCACCACAGCCAGCTTGCACTTCCAAGGTTTCTGATTGGTTCTTTTACACAACCTCTCTTTATTGACTTTCTCATTCATATCTTACATTGTCATCCTAGTTTCATTTAACTGTTAATCTATATTATCTTGAATCTCATTGAGCTTTTCATAATCATGCTTTTCAGAGAGAGAAACAGAAACAGATACAGACAGACAAGGGAGTAAACCCAGCCTGTGACGAGGAGCTACATCCTGCCTCCTCCTTCTCTAGGGGACAGGGTCTAAATTGCTCACACTGGCCTCCAACTTGTGATCCTCCTCCCATATCCTCCTGAGCAGCTGGAACTACTGGTGTGTGCCATCAAAAATGGCTGTTCAAATTTTCTATCACAATTCTTTTATTCACATTGGTATCTCTGGAATCTGGTACTAAAGTGTTATGAGGGGCTGGTGAGATGGCTCAGTGGTCTAAAGCACTTACTTAGAACAAGCTAAGCTAAGCAAAGCACAGGGACCGCAGTTCAATCCCCCAGCACCACATGCCAGCCAGCCCCGCCCCCTGGTGGGCTGAGCTGGCCACACACACACTAAATAAATAAATAAATAAATAAATATTTAAAAAATAAATAAATAAAGTGTTATGAACTTGAGGAGGAGGGTCCTCTTACCCTGTTTCTTCCTACTGATTTCCTGTTTCTCCCTGTGTCGAGGTTTGCGCATCTGGCAGAGTGGGCGTCTCCATCGCTGTATGGGACAGCCTGCTTAGTGGCTGTCTCAGTCACTCTTCTCTTGTTGCTGAAACAAACACCCGACACCCACCATGAAGGAAGGAAAGGTTTATTTAGCTTACAGTTACTGGAGGGTTCAGTCCACACTCGGCTGGCTCCGACGCAGACTGGCACATGGCACAGAGCAGCAGTTCATGGTGACAAGAAAGAGTAGAGATCAAATGGAAGGAGTAGCAGCAACATTGGCAACAGACAGGAAATCTGTCCCCCTTAAATCGCATTAGGACTATATGTGCCAGGCTGGGGAAGTACTCACATCCATAATCCCAACAGTACTAAGACCCATAATCCTAGTGGATCACGAGTTAATCTCAAACCCCAGAAGTCCCCACCCCATGACTGCATGAGGCTTTGGGGGGACAACTAGACACAAACTGTAACAGTGGCTTTCTTCTAAAGATGCATATGGTGGTGCTGGCTTTTTAATGCAATGCTGAGTTCACTTCCAGCGAGGTCCTAGAGTGCATCTCCTCGCAGCTTCTCTGGCTGTGAGTAGTGACTCTGAGCACACCACATGTATGTCAGAGCTGGAGAAATGCAGTCTCTGCAGGTTATACAAGTGTGCAGAGCTGCAGAAGTCCAGGAAGGTACAACCCAGTCAGCAAGGGACATTGGCACACCCTGTGTGACCACTCCTGTAACAGGGTGGGTAGGAGTTTCCTCAGGCACTGTGGATATGGCTCCACTGCTTGAATGCATGTCTCGTACTGGCTGCTCTGGTGGCAGGGAGACCCGAAGCACCTCAGGGCCCTCTGATCAGGCACTAGTGCAGCTCCATCAGCCTTCTGTGCAGGAGTCCCGGCATCTCCTCTGGCTCTCACACCAAGTCCTCGGACTTTATCCCCAGCTATGCAAATCCCCAGCCCAGCTCACCCGATATTCTCAGCTGTGCCTGCCAGGAACTGAGCAGGAGCAGGCATGATTAGGCTGCTCTCAGCAGGAAGCAGAGCAGGAGTGGCCATCCTGGCTCAAAATTCCCTGCAGGGCACCTTAGGCCATAGTCAAAGGCAGGCAGTGGCTCCAGTATACCCCTGAGGGGAACAAATGAATGTGTCCCTTCTTTCTCCTGTTGTCAAGTGTCTTTGTGTGGTGCTGGGACAATGGTAGCGGCTAATGGCTCACTCCTGGCACCAGCACTGGCCACACCCCATCCTGGAGGGCAGCTCTCGGGGCTCTGGCTGAAGTGGACAACCCCCACCCCTGCACCCCTACGCATCACAGCCTCCTTCTCACTACGCAGGGCACTCATAGCATTGCGGTGGCCACTCCCCTGAGCCAAGGTCGACTCTGAGAGGTGGCCAAATCCTGAGCCAGTGCAGTGGGATGTCTGTGTGTGGGGGGGGTGTCCCTGAGATGGGAAGACACAGGGGCACCTGGTCTCTAAAGTAGTCCACATGGAGAACAGGCCCCTACCCAAGATGGCTCCTGGCTACAGAAACCTTGGGGAGGGGGGTCCCTGGGGAGAGGGAGCAAATTCCTTTCCAAATCCAGGCTACTGCAGAGACTCAAAGTCTCTCATCTATCTACACTGTAAAACCTACACGTTACTGTTCTTTGTATGACTGCTAACAAGTTGATTAATCATAGTTCTCCATTATGTAGATCAAAAGTAATTTTTTATTTATTTTTAGTCTTTTGGAGACAGGCTCTTGCTATGCAGTTCAGGCTGGCCTTGAACTCACAGCAATTCTCCTGCCTCAGGCTCCCAAGTGCTGGGATTACAGGTGTGAGTCATGATGCCTGGCTGAATGTGCTCTTTCCTTTTTTTACTTTTTATGTATTTGGTACAGGGTCTCCAGGGTCTCACTATGTAGATCAGACTCATAGCGATTCTCCTGCTTTCGGCCTCCCAAGTGCTGGGATTACAGCATGCACTGCCTTGCCCAGTCTCAATCACCAACTCAGCATGCCCCAGGGGTGGGGCCTGCACCACACGCTGGGGATC